AGCTCTACAATCTGCGCTTGATTATGATGAAGAAACCCCATCTCATTGCTGCCTTTATCTTAAGCCACCCAACAACAGCCCTGCCTGATCGACCGCGGTCTTCGTCATAACCTTGCATAGGCGTGTGTAGAAACGATGGGAAAGTATATCCATCTTATGTAAGTGTGTTGCAGAGCCATACCAAAAAGAAAAAATCCATCCATTTCCAAGAGTTTAGATATCTAATATTGTTGAGAGACAAATCTCTTCGGTACTTAAATATTGTCTAGGTATTAAACAAGAGTTTAAACTACAGATCGCCTTTATTTATTCATTCGTTGATTGATTGTAATAATATATCCCCTCTGTTCCATTTCCATAGAGTTTGGCGTTTCTGTGTTGATGGACTTTCTTCACTTCTTCACTGGTTCCACTGCATATCATCAGCAAAATTAGGATTTTACAAAATCATAATTAAACGAGATAAACAAAAGAAACCTCCCTCAAGTACCTTGTGGAGTGTAACTCCAAGGAGAGTCTTTCCATTGTTCATGGACAAACCGCCCATAATATTCTAAGAACTTAAAAGTGGCAGGCAGATTCTCCTTCTTTGGTGGTAATCCGTCNACAAAATCATGAGCTGCACGTACGCCTTTGGTCTTCGCAAGAANATCCACAAAGGTTACATTATCTGAGGGAGAAAACGTCATTTTCTTTCTTTGCATCCACTCAAAGATCTCGAGTGCTTGCTGAGTTATCCCCTTCTTATCAAGGAGGTTAGCCCAACGAAGAAGATCAGCCTTTGCAAGGCCCTCTTCCCGATCTAAGATATCTGCCACCGTTTCTCCTATTTCATCAATATTGGAGACTTTCCAATACACACTCTTCCGTCTCCTTGACTCATTTGTGGTTGTTACTCCAGAAAACGGGCGGCGGGAATCTGTGTAAGTAGAAAGGCCAGAGAACGCATTACTCAAGCCAGAATTCGCCCTATTCCATATCCGAGAAGTCGCCATCTACAATGACCATCCAGAGTTCGTCAAATCGAACAAACTACATAAGTGAATCATAGTTGCAAAAAAACATCATAGCTGCAAAAATTAGCAGTCTGAGAGACTTAACAAATCAAAACTAAAACATGCAGAATCAACAAACTTTGATCTTCAGATCAAATAAAGGGACACATAAATCATGATGAACCTCTCAACTAAGCAATCTATCATTCAAAAAGTCCCAGAAACTTGATATATTCAGCTAACAAATCAAAAGACGAAGCTACAAACATTGGTGGGTAAGTTACATTCCAATTGGCACTTACATATTTCTCGTGGCGATCCCGTTTTGTAGCAGTGCATACCTCAGATGAATAAGAAAGTGTATGGTCATTCTTCGAGTAAATATCAAAAAGAAACAAATGAAATCAAGCAAAATAAGCATACACACACAGAATCACTCACGGCTCAAAAAACCTAACTACGTAAGAGAAAACGGACGAGAAATACCAGAGTACCCAGTACAATAGGTCCTCCTCAAACGAGAATTCGCAATGCGAGGAGTCGCCATCTTCCACACCAGATTCATCGTCGAGGGAACCCTAAAAGAAAATTGACTTTGAGAAAAGGTTACATTCTTTTTCCACAATTTATTTTTGTTCAAAAGATTAACTCAAAACGTGAAAACATAAAAGGCTCTCACTGGAATCTTGTGTTTTGTGTGTTTGCAGGTATTTTACCAAAATTCAGGGTTTGTGCTTTTGACTTTGTCACTTCTTCTCTGGTTCGATCACACCAAAATTGATTTCCACATTTATTCCATCCTGTGGAACCCTAAAACCATA